AATCCGTTCAAGTTGGAGCACTAGGTGGTGTTTTGATAGTGCAGCCGACGTCACATTGAATTGTGACATAGGGAACGAACCTTTCACAAGCAGATGGGCTCCATGCTAAAAACCATTTTCGTTGTAGGATTGAGATTCCTGACCAATTCCTTAACTCTTTCCTTTTCCTCTCTCTCTTTTATATCGAGTCCTGTGAGGAGATTCTTATTCAGGAGATTCTTTATCCAAAGTGCCTCTATTCAACTTCCTCAACGGCGATCACATGTACAGAAGCAGCTCGCAAATGCGACACCGATCATCGGTGTCGGTTGGTGCTTTCAAGAAAATTCAGCAAGCCCGACTTGGTGTCTTCAGCCATCTGATCTGCCTGTGTTGCAGACATCTTCGCCATTCATTGACGGCCAACTGTCCGGTGGCATACGAGGCATGCGCGAAAACGTCTCTGGACGAGTGTAGGCGTACGATTCTGCATGCAAGGTTTGTTCCAGGTCAAAGAAGAATTAAGTTGTAATGACTTGGATTCAAAATGTCTACGGGGTCAATAGTTTATTTTTTGTTTATTGCTATCAATTTACATTTNTCGTGCATTGATTCAAAGTTTAACTGTTCGAAAGCAAAATCTGAACCGTACTGATTCGAACCCTTCTGCCTTAATTCTTTCGAAGGTGATTTACGTACTGGCTGGTTTCCTTTTCATGACCATACATAGCCCGAAGTTTCAAGCAAATGCACATTTAGCAGTGTACGCGAATTTCTCGAGGTTTTTGGAAAGATAGCGCGATTTATATTTTCAGTCCCTATCAGCAGGATGGCGAGTCATTGGCAAAATGTTCGTATAGGACCGGACTGAAACTCTTGTGCTTTCCGGGCTCCATCCTCTTGATTTTTACACCACCGAAATCCAATTTTTCTTGCCTTCTCAATGAAATTTCACCCATTTTTAACCCATGGTTTTCCAGAGCTTCTATTCTTGAACAACCCTGCTACTGTCCGCTGTCCGATGTTGAATGCATGGCTCATCAACGCTTGATGATTCCCAATAACCCCTGTATAGGTGGGCAATTCACATTTTTTAAAATCAGAATCGATTAAAAACCTCTTTTGCTTATTGCACTATTTTACATTTTTTTAGAGAAAGCTATGCTGGACTATTCACGATTGATGGGTTATAACACTCCGCCTGCAGCGAAAACAGTAAGCATCGAGACGAATCGTGTCCATGAAGCGGACTACGCAAACCAGAGTCTGGTTGGTGATTCTCAGGAGGAGTCGGTGATTTTTATCCAAGTTACTCCCATAAAGTCTTATAAAGTTGGAATGAATGAACCCGTAAATTTGCCAATGCTCTGTCAATGTTTCTTGGAATTGCCTCATAGAGAAAGGTCACTTCGGTCGTTGAAAAATGGCTGACTTTTCGCTGCTTACTTGATTTCATACGATATTTGTTTATTTGTCTGATTATAAGTCAAAGAATCCTTAGATTGACACTTCACAGCTATAAGAAGTCATGTTCCATTATTAGACCGATCATTCATCCCTAGATTTCAGGATCGACGTCTGAACCAGGCAGGAACACCAGTTGGACACCGAGGAACGATTAGACCAGGAACCAGTGGTGAATACCCAGATACTCGTCGGACGGACTATGGGGTCGCGAGACAATCCTGGAGCCGGCATGGTTCTGCTGAACAGAAAGAAGGATACCGTGCAGGAAACTGGAAAGAAAAAGACACCCGAAAAGGAGACTGGTCCGGTGGAGCGGGCGATGGAGCTGAGGTGCACCGGTTGAAAACAGGTTGGCAGGATGAGAGCGAATCCGAATCGGATCGACGGGTATCATCAATGGGGAAAGAAAGCTGGTCGGCAAAATCGCGGCCCGGAAATGCAAAATGGTCGACTACTCCAATACCAGTCTGGTCATCGACACATCGCAAAACAACGGAACTTACTGAGGGGTAAGTTTGTTCAGCCTCAAACGACCTACTCTCCAAGCAGTAATGTTTGGGAGTAAAAAAAATTAGTGGACAATGTTTGTGTAGTATGCTATAGGATAGCAGTAATAACTGGCTGGGAGGCGTGGTCGTGGTACAGCATAAGCTGTTGATTTGATACATTTCTGTTTTTTAGCTTCGTAAAGTATGGGTAGTAAATGACTTGTCAGGAATTAGAAAGCCAATTCGAATGGGTGTTACCATCAAGCAGGAAACAGCTCAAGAGGCGAACGGCTCTTTAAACGACGTTCTTTTCAGAAGACGGAAGGAAAAACCGCGAACAACGCTCTCGCCTTTGCCAACAGAACCACCACCACCATGGGAGACAACCACTACCCAGCCGCCTACTACCACGTTCGTCACCCACGCACCGCCACCAGCCGGTAAGTTTTGCTTTCATCGTTTGAGGTTGGACATTCCTCTCCCACTTTTCGTTTGCTAAAAAGGATAGGATGGGGTAGTGTTACTCTCGAGGAATGTGGCACGATTCCCCTAAACTAGAATCCCAAACTAAGTCTCAAATCCTCTGCAAACGATTTTGTGCTACGAATAAATGATTCCGCTAACGCGCATAGGGTTCAAGAGAAGATAGGGAGTGTACCGGCTCAAATCGACCAGTCCCCCATCCTCCACAGTTGTTGGCAATCTCTGACTTGTTTTTGGGATCAACCGTTTTCTTGTATCAACTCACTGTAGCCTCGCAACTCGTTATACAAGCCATAAACCCCTACAAACATCATTAAAATACTCAGCGGAAGTCGGGTGTGGGAGCGCATCAAAAAACTCCCAGGAAGGGCATTATCTTTCTGCCTTTAATTGGGATTTTGACCCAAATGTCGCCAACCAACTGTTCCAAAAATGAGGAAGTCACTGTCTTGATCTAAAATTGAATCCTCACAATTGGTTTTATAGCGAATTGCGTGACTTGGCCAGAATACAAAAACTTTTTTTTCTGCCCTCGAAGTCCATTCATTCAGCTCCATTAATTTGTAATGAGCTTCAGAAGGATGCAATGCCAAAGATGCCAGTGGACGACAAATTTTCGTCCATACGGGCTCTTTGATACGAGTAAGTTGAAGTCTGAAACTGAATTTTCTTTAACATTCCCGATGATGATCTTGATCTATTTCCCAGAAATATGTTGACTGGTCGGGTCGATGTTCGTCGTGGTGTGAATGTGTTTCTGAAGACGAGCTTGTCTGTGAAAGACTACCTTGCCTCGAAGACGGAAAATGCGATGCACCTTTAACATCTGTCGGTATGTATCGACTACAGAACTATTCCTTTTCCTTCCTTTTTTCTTGATGGAAAGAGTTCTAGGATCCCTCAATACTTCAGAGCGTTGACTTTGTAAAATGAAATTCGCAATAAGGAAGGTTGTACTTGTTCGTTTGATGGCAGGGAGTCATACTCGTGGAAAGGGTAGAGGAGTGATATTGGATAAAATTCTTACAAAATTCAACTAATTTTTGTGTTTGAGCTGCAAATGCACTCTTTTGCTTCAACCGAGGTCATATCTTTTCTGAAGTTGAACAACTAACGGAGGAGGGTTAGGTAGAACCACTCCTAGGAGCGAAACTCACAACATACTTGCATGGTGCTATTTTTGGGGCGCTATACCAAAGTTTCTAGAAGCAAATACTACATGACTCCAATTTTTATGGCATTGTTACCTTTCTGATATGTCACTAACTATTAGGTTGATGCATAATTATTGCGGATTTTTTCGCGGC